CTCTCTCTCTCTCTCTCTGTCCGTCTCTGTGTTCGTCTTTCTCCCTCTCTCTTTCTTCTCTCTCTCTTTCTCTCTCCCTCTCCCCCCCCTCTCTCTCTCTCTCTCTCTCTCTCTCTGACAGAAGATGTCTGTCATATTTTGCTCCTCTCAGAGCTGGAAACTATATGACATATTGGTTTTACTTTTCACCGTGGGCCACATTCATTATCAATGACTGGTTTGACTCGCGATCCAGATTGAAACTGCTTTAGAAATATAAATGACCATGGCCAGTCACGCATCCATCGAGCTGACAGGTCCACAAGCTTATTTTCTTTGTCAGGAGAGAATGATAAGCATTATTTTCCCTACCTTCCAATTCCATACGTAGTTTGTGTAATAGGTGTACAGGAAATGTTTCACATCGATGAGGAATCAGTCCAGTAAATTTGACACTAGGGACAAGAGAGCTTACCTCAGGGTTATTAAATGAGTTCCTGTACATTATGTACCTGTATATTTTTTAAAAATCTTTCTTTGTTTTATATTCCCATCGGGATAATGTAAGCCCTTCACATGAACAACTGATAATACAAACGTAGGCTGCCTACTATCTCAAAACTAAATTGGAGAGAATCAGGAAAAGCTGGAGTGACAAAACGCACACACTTAACCCGAAAAAGGACACCATAAAACTATGGAGGCTTGTAAAGGGGCTAAACGACGAAGGAAATAAAAGTGCCAAGATCGCTCTAGAAGTTGAAGGAGAAATGGAAATGGAGAAAAGGGCAGCACATACCTTTGTAAAAGCATATGCTCAAGAAAGCAACATCAAAATACCAAGAGAGAGACAAGAGGAAAGAAGAAAGAAGAAAAAGAAGTACAAATAATATCCCGGAAGCAATGGAAAAGGACATCACCATGGAAGAGCTGAAAAAAGCAATAAATCAACTGAAGCAAAGAAAATCACAAGGCCCCGATGAAATTACAAACGAAATGTTACAACACCTGAGCAACACAGCCTTACATACTCTACTGAATATATTCAACTTGAGCTGGAAAAAAGGGCAAGTACCTCAGTGCTGGAAAGAAGCAACGATGATCCCGATCCTCAAGCCAGGGAAAAGTAAGGCATGACCATTAAGCTATAGACCTGTCAGACTCACAAGCTGTATATGTAAGACAATGGAGCGCATCATAGCTTGCAGAATGCAGTGGTACCTAGAGGCACAACACATCTTAGTGGAACAAACTGGATTCCGTCAGTTCCGGAGCACATATGACCAAACAACATACTTGTCCCAAGTAATAGAGGACTCCTTCCAGTCACAGAAAGTGATGCAAGCAACATTTATTGATCTACAAAAAGCGTTTGACAAGGTGTGGAAGGAGGGTCTACTAGTCAAGCTCCTTAGAAGTGGTATCCAAGGCAACATGTACCAATGGACCAAATCCTATCTACACAACAGAAGAGCACGTGTGCTGGTGGATGGATATCAAGGACGGAAAATGCTGTTGCGACAAGGAGTACCCCAAGGTGGAGTCATGCCACCTTTGCTCTTTATCCTCTTCATCAATGACCTCATGAAAGAACTGCTCAAAGGAATACAAGTCGCATTGTATGCATTGTATGGTTCTTTGGTGCTCTGAGGAATTCATCTCTACTATCGCATGCAACTAGCATTGGACAAACTCACTACATGGACAAAAACCTGGTGTGTAACCGTAATCAAAGAAAAGTCTTCTGCTACACTCTTCACTCTGAGCCACGCTGAGCCAAAAACACCTCACATTAGACAAAAAAAACCCAAAGGTTTGAGAATCAACAGAAGTGTCTTCGAATAATCTTTGACAAGCGTCTCACATGGAAACAACGCATTCAAAATGCAGAAAATAAAGCCAGGAAGAAACTTTGCATCATGACAAAACTGGCAGGAACTCAGTGGGGAGCAAATGAGAAAACACTTAGACATGTCTATCTAGGCGCAATCAGGCCCCATCTCGAGTACGGATCCAGTGCATGGATGACTGTAGCACAGACTCACAAATACACTCTGGAAAAAGTGCAAAACCAGGCTCTCCGAATAATCACTACAGCAATGAGGTCAACGCCTATAGAAAAGATGGAACAAACAACATCTATAGTGGCCCTGCAGAGGAGATGGGAATGCAAGGCCCTCATACAGTAAACCAAAGCCACAGCTATGGAGGATCATAAAAATATACTGCACACAAGAACAGCCAGATCAAACACCACAAGACTTAAAAGATCTAACTTCATCAAAGAAAGCAGAAAAATCTACTAAAGATCCCTACAGGACCATCTACCAGCCACAGTGAACATGCTGAACCATACCCCAGAGGAACCATCATGGGAAAAGAAAAACACAAACATAATTATACACATGTTCATTCCTATGTTCACCACAAAAGATGACCACAACGACCTGAGCAAGAATTCCTTCACCCTGTCCATGCTTGAACAAAGATACCCACGAGAAGCTTGGATAAGGATCTATACAGACGGATCTGCCACTGATGCTGTGAAAAGAGGAGGAGCCGGAGTGTACGTACAGTTCCCAAATGGACGATGACAAGCGGAGGCAGTCCCAACAGGGCGACATTGTACAAACTACAGGGCAGAGACGGAGGCTCTAATACATGCAGCAAACATCATCAAGAATGTGGTAGACCCCCAAAGCCAAGCAGTATTCCTAACTGACGCCATGTCAGTACTGCAGGCAGGCAATCACTGCCGGCGAACTACCAAGGCTACGAAAAGTAATTGAGGACATCCCATGTCTGAGGATCAAGCTGCAGTCGAATCCATCACACTGTGGTGTCTTAGGAAATGAGCAGGCAGACAGGATGGCCAAACTAGGAGCACAGAAAGAGCAACCAAACAACAGCGTTAACTACACAGAAATAAAAACTATTATAAATACACTATCTAAAGCACCCCAGACACCAGATAGCTACCATGAGCTGTCCCACCAAGTAATTATCTTCCGACTAAGGACACAACACACAAGACTGAGACAATGTATGTACAGATGTTTTAAACTAGTACAATCACCAAAATGCCAGTGTGGAGAGGCGGGCCAAACTGTTGAACACATCCTTCAGCACTGCAAGACCCACAGGGCCCTGAGACAGGAAACGTGGCCAACCCCACTGACGCTACAAGAGAAGCTATACGAGCCGACAGATGAACTGAGCAGAACGGCCCAATGTATGACAGATACCAGACTTCAGGTGTGATGCGATCGAGAAAAAGAAGAAAGAAAAATGCAGGCTATTCCAGTTGAGTAGAAGTAAGAAAACAACAACAAAATAACAAAGGTAATCACCATAGTACATTTTGTTTCTTTGTCAGATTGTTCCCAAATGAATAAGTTTAGAGAAGTTATTGAGAAAAAAAAGGGCTTAATTTTTACAATAACTTTAAGCAGTCAACAACTAGAACAGTTGGCCAATAAACATGGTTGGAAGACCACTGAGTCAAACTTGTAATTTGTAGCACTGAAGACAAACACTCCAGGCTATTTTTTAACTATCTAACCAGCAAAAACACTCATTAAAATAGTCAGAAAACAACAACCTTCTTCAAAGTTTATAAATTTTGGTTTTATTGCAAAACTTTTATATATATATTATATTAACAAATACATAGATTTGTAAAACTTTCTTTCCGAATCTAGTGCAATCATAATTTACTGAACTTCTTTGTCAAAAGACAATAAATGTTCACAGGGTTGTGAGGCATATGCAGTATATGATACAAATATACACTTACTTTTGGATACCCCCCCCCCAACCAATCACAAATTAATAAGATTAAAAATTGAGATTTTGGTGGAGCTCAATTGCAAAATGAGCTCACAATGAATGGCAGTTTTGTCAAAGCGAGAAGCAGTGCTCTTAGGCTCTATCAAACAGAGTTGACAAAAAATATATAGTCACAATTAATACCGACTACTGTACCCTTCATGCTAGGGTAAACAAATACCCCTAAAAGTGGTCAATAAAAGGCATAAAATGCACTGCTCCAAGTGAGATGGGAAATTTTAACATCCCTTTCTCTATTGGCAAGACATTAAAGCTTAGAACACAATTTCCCACCCCTTGGAAGAGAATGTGTAGCAATGGCCATGTTTTTCCATTCATAGAACATTCATCCGAGTCAGCATCTTTCATTTCCAAGAAAGACAGGACGATATGAATATATGATAGTAAGGTACATCTTGCCATTACAAACCACTACTTTATCAAACTATTAAACTTCTGAATTAAAAACAAGCAAAATAAGGCTGTAAACCGTCAGCAGTATCAATGATCAAGAGACCTGTTTAAAAATCACATCAGAGAAGTGCAAAAACAAATAATTTCTGATCTGCATTTACAATATGCACATTAAAGAATACCTGTTCCTTTAACATGTGTACACTCCTTAATTTAAAAATATTAGACAAAAGTACACAGAGGTAAAAATGAGAGGCTTGGCTTTCTTCCATCGCATCAGCAACTATGACATAAGTGTGCGGCAATTGAAACAATAATATTGCCAGGGCCATTCTAAAGTTGCCTCATTCAATTGCTGGGAGTTTCCAGATAAAGTCGTTGTTTCAATAAATACAATAAGTGGCATCTTACAATATAGTTTCATTTTGCTTTGTAATTTCCTTCCTAGATTCTGATGGAAAAATAATGAGAAACCCAAGTCATGGTTATGATTTGGGCGCTCTCTTTTGCTTTAATTTACTCTAAACTTCAAAAACTTAGTTTGGGGCTTGTGGAATAACGCTGACAATATGCTCACAGAGGTCTGGTACACTTTTCTATAAAATAAATTCAACATTTAGCCAGAGTCCTTGCTAGAATCTTACAATGACTGAACAATTTTATAAGTTATTAGAATGGTTATTCATTAACGCACGGTCTAACTTTTACATGGGTCATCTGTCACTGGCACGTGAAATTGAATTAAATTTAATGCCATTACAGAGTCACTGTAACCATCAAAGTTGGGAATGCATTTTAAGAGAAGGTAATAGAAAAAAAACATATTCAATGAACACATACATAGAATGAGCAGTACTGCTCTCATAAGCTGAGCAAAAACAGACTTCATCCTACAGATGAAAGAGAAAACGAATAGTAATTTTAATAATCCCTTTAGCATGAAAAATAAAGTCATGCATGAAGCTTTGATATATTCCACTTAGCAAGGACTTGATCTCACACAAATGAAAGACATTAAGATTGTATTCCACTAAGAACAAAGAGCATTTCACTCATTCTTTCTTTCTGCCTTGGCACAACTTTCACACTCCCACATATACCAGAATCATGTCAACTTTATCACAAGAGCTGACCTACTAAATGCAAAAAGTCAACCCAACATATTATGTCATGGAAGTATACCTTTTCAGAAGACTGTTGCAGCGAGTGGACAAAACAGATTCCACAAAGAGATCACAAAGAGATAAAAAGCCACACTAGAATAGACCTTGCAAAACTAACATGCTATTCCATCCCCACCGTAGGCTATAAAAGACTAACTCGCCATTCCATCTCCACCTCAGTGTTACCCACCAAGAGAAAATAACAAGCTAGCCCGACGGAAAAATCAACTGCTGAGACTTGGATTTCTCTTTCAATATCACAGACCTGCACGCATGACAAAATTGAGTTGGGGGGGGGGGGGGGGGGGGATTAAGCTGAGAGAGAAATCTTGATAAACACCTGTGTGTGAAGATGTCAATGTTGTTGTGGTTTTTATGTAACTAAAACGGAACTAGGTGACTAGGTCTCATCTTTCAATTGAAATACAGCTTGAAATGCTACTCAAATGTTCTGTCACTGCATTATACACACAAAATGACTAACTTTGCTTCAATTACAACAAATTGACAGATTTTCTGGAGGATTGTAGACGGGAGATAGACTGAATGAACAAAATTGTATGCCCATGTAGGAACAGCAAAATAAAGTGTATTAGGGCAGATAAAGTCACAATAACAAAGAAATGACTTTTGTTTTGCTGTTGAATCAATGTACAAATATACAAAATAGAAAGTCAGCTACAAGACTGATATCTATAGCAATCAAATATTCAAAGAAATTATCAACCTTAAGAACACACCCCTAAGCAATTTTACAATAGCTTTGTGCGTTAGCCACAGATAAGAAGGAAGCAAAATGGGCGAGACTGACTTCATAAAACTCATCTCTTTATGAAAGACAGATAACTTTTCCCAAAATTAAGAAATTAACATGCTTTGTAAACATTTGAGAGTTCTTTTCACACTCCAACGAGAGTGCCTTCTTTGACAAAATGAAAAGTGATTCAGTTACTGAAAACTGACTTGTCCTCTGCCCAAGATGTATGGAATAAAGATTAAAATCATGAGAAACTTAAAAATCAGCTTAAAGAAGAGAGAAGATATTTTAGCATTGCAACTATAAAAAATTTCCTCAGCTCTTCAATGTATTCAAAATACTGCATCAACCCTTACAGTATCATATAAGAATGTTGAGTCTTATGTCACAGATTTAAATACTGCCAAACTTATTTCAAAGGCTGAAAATTTTCAAAAGATAAAACAAAGTAATATTCCCAGAATAAGCTTCAATATTTCCATGAGGAAAATTATACAGAAATGACAATGAGCGTGAAATTCCCAATCTGCACATTGCTATCTAAGATTTCTCAGCGTAGAAGAGTCCCCATCTCTGATCTCCAATTTCAACACGGCCCAACTTCTCCTTCCATCCATCCACAATGTACCTATATCCATCTTCATCGAATTCCTGTAACAAGAAAATAAAAATATATTATTCTCACGAGCATTCAATAACCTTTCATCATACTGCAAATGGAAGAATTCCTTTCTAACTGCTCTGGTTACACAAATAGCATGCATGCATAGAAGACAGACTTTTTGGCAGACAATTTATCCGTCAAGATTATGCTCAATATAAAATAAACGAATCAATGGTTCAGCGAATTGGGCTTTTCATATCCATCACACTGCGGGGGAGGAGGATTTGTTATTATAGAAAAGCTTAAAATCTGTGTCAAGTGTGTTTAGTTTTAGTAGAGGTTTTACGGCGCTCACAACTGCATAAGGTCATAAGAGTGCCAGAAGATTAGAAGTGTAACATGAGAGTAACAAACATAAAAAAGAAGAAGGGGAGATAAGGAAGATAGATGTTAGATAGGAAAGAAGAAGCAAACCACACCAAAGCACCCGCCAAACACCCACTGTCAAGTTTGAATTAACAAGCTCACAAAACAGGTTCAAACATAAGTACAAATTCTTGATTCCATTGTGTGTTCACTATTACTCAGTACTTCACCATTTGCTAAACCCTAGTGAAAATATTATTTAATCTCGATGCAACTGCAAAAAATGAAACACATGTCACGATGATTAGGCAGGAAGGCTGGCTGTGAACAAAAGCCTGTTTAATGTGAAAGTGGGACTGCAATGTCCTCTCAAGACAGTCAATCTTTTATGAAAAGAAACCAGCCAAACACATGTCTCCACCCTGTGGAGAACTATCAAGTCTGCACTCTCCTCTGATTCACTCAGTTTATTATTCCACAACAAATTCAAAAGAACTGACTGATAACAAAAACCATCAGAAGCATGAAAAAGGGGCAAATAACTTACATCTACATCATAAAAAAAGAAAGTTTTAAGACAAAGAGAAGAATGAGTGTACACCCTATTCTTCAAAGAGATTTTACCACCATTTGTTTTCATATCATACGAGGGAAAAGAAAAATCTCGATTCTTCAAAAGTAGTAAATAATAAACAGTACCACATAGGAAAAGCAAGAGATGAACGCACCTTGATGAACTCGTCTTTGATACTCTCAGTTTTCGCAATCTCAGATTTGAGCACCTTTGCAAATTGAGCAGATCTGTCCTCAGCCCTGACATTCACAAATCCTGCTGCTTCGAGAACCTGAGGTCAAATTATGAACAAATAAATGTAATGATTTTATAAACATCCTAATAACTTAACCCTATCCATACGTTGTGTTTTACTATCGTATCCCTATGACGTGGGGAACTCTGTGCCACCTCTTTCCAAAGAAGAAATTTACTCGTTAATCTGATCCGTTCGCTTTGCATAGAAGTTCGTTAAAATGAATTTTTGAGAAATACTGAAAGTTTCAAAGAGATCTTCGTACTAGAAGTATTCTAAAATATGAAGAATACAACCCCGGGGGTACAAAATGACCCCAGGGCGTACGGATAGGGTTAAGAAATGCAAACAACAATTTTTCATTTCTATGATAAAAACATAAAATCACTTTACATAGATGTTGTATTACATGTATATCATTTGCTGAAGTAAAGAAATAAAAATCAGAGATAAAAACATAAACCTCCACTCTACAATAACAGAGGAATGCACCCATTATTCACTGGTTCAGGAAAGTACCCTCACACAATAATAATTTGTGCTTTACTAGTGAAATATATCGAAGTACTCTTCCACAAACATGATAAATCAATGTTTGTTTGAAGGCACAGAACTCTACATCCATTTGTTCCTTTAGAACAACAACAAAAAAGAAAATAGCGACTAATTTGTGCTTCACTTCAGAAATCAAATTCTACAAGTCAAGACAGTTTTACAAGATAACCATGAAACTGTTGTATTATAATGAAACTCTAGATTGATACCTTGCCGTATTGAGCAGGTGATAAGAGATTGTATCCTCTTTGTTTCACATAAGTCTTGAATTTCTCTGAGTGTTCATCGGGACTGCAGCAGTAGTCAGAGATCAGTACTTTGCCTCCAGGGCGCAGGAATTTCTGTTGTAGTGAGAAAGAAAGAAATGATTGTAAAAAGTGGAGTTACTTAGGCAAAGAAAAGAGATCTCATGCAAAACTATTTCAACGTCAATCTTATAATATATACAACAATAGCTATCTTAACTGGAGAATTAACACACATAAAATCTCAGGATGTCAATGTTGTCAATTAAGATAATGTATTGTATAACATTTAAGCAACAGTTGACAAAAAAATCGATTTGGTTATCAGTGGAAGAACACTTGGTTTTGACAAAATGGCATTTTCATTGTAAGCATGCTTTCTGACGATTAAGACTAGGAGGAAATACATCGAAAACTGTCAACTAAGTTAAAATAGCTGAAAAAAAGAGGGATAGGAAGCCTTTTTACCTTCTCAAGCCAATGCCATATAAATGAGAACTGGATAAAAGTCACAAACAAAAAACCAGCAAAGAGAAATTAGAAATCATATAGTTACAATAATTGTGCATTAAATTACCCAGGCCTTTCGAAACTCCTTTGCAAACTAGATTACGCTTGCAGGAGGCTGACAGCCGATCCCTGACTTAAAAAGAGAGTATTTCAAAACAAAAACTAACATAGAATTTCTTGAAAAGAGCAAGCTTGTCTGGAATGTGAAGGATAGTATCACGGCTGTAGATGACATCAAACGATTGTGCTGGGTAATCCCTTTTGGTGGCGTCAGCGATTTCAAACACAACCTGGTCAGGCCCACAACCAACTTCCTCTGCTCTTTGCAAGCCAATTTGTGTCATGTTTGAGGACAGGTCAATGCTCACAACCTTCACACCAAATTTCTGGGAATTACAAGAGGTAGAAAATCCACAAATTAAGTTGAGTATGTTGTCTTTGTAGAAATTGACCAAGAATGGTTTAAAGAACAGAACACAACACTTTATCCTGTTCCTGTAAGCAAACAATGCCTTGCCTACAAATGCGTCTTTCTTAAAACCAAAACAGAGAATAGGAAATAAAATCATGTAAAAGACCCATATTTTGAGCAAAAATAAACCTTTCTGTGTAAAATTTCCCCATTTTTGTTACAGAAAATTAACCCTATCCATACGCCCTGGGGTCATTCTATACCATCGGGGTAGTATTCTTCACATTTTAGAATACTTCTAGTACGAAGATCTCTTTGTTTCAGTATTTCTCAAAAAATCATTTTGACAGACTGCTATGCAAAGCCTACAGATCAGATTAATGAGTAAATTTCTTCTTTGAAAAGTGGTGGCACAGAGTTCCCCATGTCGTATGGATGATGTACGGATAGGGTTAAGTAATTTGCTGCTTTAAAAAATTCTTTCTCAATAATATCTTTTAAAAAAGGTGAAAATGCTGAGCAAAACAAGGTATAGTTACTTGTGATTTCTAAAAAAATGTTTTTCAATATAAGCATGAGGACGAGGGTCAAGAATCTGAATGACATTAACTGACCAGAAAATGGAAAAAACACATTAGAAGAAAAAAAAATACAGTGACACTGCTATATAATACAACATCATGTGCAGAAAAGTGGGAAGGCATGGACCAATATCAAGAGGCTAGCCAAGGATAGGGAAAGGTGGAAAGTGATTTGCTGTTCATAGCCAATACCCTGATGCAGGGTGAGAAAGGCAGTGGTGATGATGATGATGATGATGATGATGATGATGATGATGATGATGATGATGATGATGATGATGATGCTAACATTTTTATGGCTGACTTTTGGCGCAAATACGTCTCCTCTCTTCCCAACCAACCATTTGTACTTATGCGATATATGGATGACATTATCGCCCTGCACAATGGTTCCTCTGAAACAACCCAAAAATTTCTAACTGATCTGAACAAGGCGCACCACTACAGCAAATTTTACTTATTCCAGCCCAGGTAAGTCCACTTCTTTCCTAGGCATGTCCCATCTCATTGCAGATAACAAAATTAAGACAGACCTGTATAAAAAACCTACCAACTCCAAGCATTACCTCCCACCTTCTTCCAACCATCCCAAACATATGCCGTTCTGTGGTCTATAGTGGTGCACTTAGACTCCGCCGCATTTGTTCCCGTGAAAATTCTTTTAAAAAATGGATAGAAGAATTCAAGGCCAAACTTCCTCACAGTGGATACCGCAAACATTATATAACGCCCATTATCGAGAAAGTCAGCAAATTGAACCGCATAAACCTTGACCTACAAACCCCTTAAGCCCAAACAGAAAAGACCATTTTTCGTCACAACCCATCACCAAAAACTACCTTACGTACATAAAATCCACAGCCAACACAAAAGCATTTTGGAAAAACCAGACAAAAAGAAAACCTGTTTCCCCGATTCCCCTCTGATTGCACTTCAATAGCCTCCTAATCTTGACAACCTCCTCATTCGCACTAGAGCAGTAACACCCACATCCTCACCTCTGAGAAACCCATGTTCCCTGCTCAAAATTATCCTTGTCAAAAACCTAGATGCAAAACATGTGCTTACATGAAAGTTACCAACTTTGTGGAAGGCCCCCACTTTAAAAGAAAACTTTCTCACAGCATCACCTGCGAAACCAAAAATGTAATCTACCTCATATCATGTAAAGTCTATCCAGCTCAATATGTAGGTCAAAACTACCACCACACTTAGAGTTAGGTTTAATAACCATAGGTATTCAGTACAGAAAACCAGTCAGCCAACATTTCAACAGTCCTGGTCACAATGGAGCCTCCGATTTGCAACTTCAAAGTATTGAAATAGTCCAATATCCAACTAAAGAAAAACTCAACCAAAGAGAATCAATGTGGATTTGGAATTTGGAGTCTCACAAAATTCTTGCTGGCCTTAACATTGACGAGCCACATTTCAAGGACCTTAAATTTAAAACGTAAGGTACTAATTGTGCGTTGTATTCCAGTAACCCTCTCCCTTTCTGTTATATTCATTACCTCCACACACTTGTTTCTCCTACAACTCTCTCTTTCTACCACTTTTTGCCTTAGAGTTCCCCTTTCTCTGGTCTTTCCAATTTGCGCCCACCTCACCATTTCGTTATATTCCTTACCTCCATGCGCATATTCTCTCTCTCTCTCTCTCTCTCCCTCCCTCTCTCTCCCTCTCTCTCTCTCTGTACCACTTTTTGCCGTAGTGTTCCCCTTGCTCTGGCCTTTCCGATTTGTGTTCATCGCACCTTTAGGCAATGTACGCACTTTGGTTTCTGCAGCTAGTTGAGTCATTTATATTTTGAATGTTCCTGATGAAGCCCGTTAGGGCAAAATGTTGAACTTATCATTAAATATTTTGGAAATACAACCAAGTCTTAACCGTTTTACTACCTGCTGAATACAGTGATGATGATGATGGTGATGATGAAAATATCATATATCATACAAGGTCTAAAAAAATAATTTGCACTTCTTGTGGGTTGACATTTTATCCTCACCTTTGCCATGTAAAAAGCGCTTCCACCAATACCACCTCCTACATCCAAAACCTGTTGACCCCTTTGGAGGTTAAGAAGCTCCACAAACTCCTGTTAAAAAGAAAAATATTAATTGTTACTCCATTCCGTGCAAAAATAATATAGGACAAAAGTTAGACATGATTATACTGTGTGAGGCAGGAAAAAGAAGTGCAAAGCAATATAACAAAAGAAAAAATACTGTAAAGTAGTGCTCATCATCTCCACAGTACAAGTACACCAGAAGGCATTTATGCGTCAAAACACACAGAAATCTAGTAAATATAATACTTTTGACTTCATTTTCTTTGTGTCTCATATTGGTGAAGAAAATTCTTTTCTTGAACCAATAAATATTGCAGCATTCTTGATAGAAAGACAGGAAATGCTAATAGTGCTCGACAGACCAGTCTCAGGAATATCCATTAAATTTTAGTCAGCAGATTTTCTTCAATCAGTTCTCCTACACATGTCAAATAATAATAATAACAATAACGATAATAATAATACCTTCATACAAGTCAGGTTTCAGCTAAATGTGCTTTGCTACTGTACAGATCACTAAATATAGACTGCAAGCCCATAAAAGAAAATTAAACAAATTGCGCATTCACATGTAACCTGGACATATGAAGACCAAGAAGCAATGAAAACGTGAACTCCTATGTTGGTTTCTGTCAGATGCTACTTGATGCAGATGCTAAACTTGGACAGGTGGGGTAAAACACCTTTGGAAAAAATCTTGAAGAAAGTAGCTTCATTACTTTTTACATTTTAAAAAAAAGATGAAACAACAAACCTCTGTTGTTTCTGGACCACCAGTGCTGACATAAGTTCTGCCAAAAATCTTTTCATACAGAAGAATTCCTCTCGCTGAATATTGTTGATTGTCCAAAAACTCTTGAAAGCTCTTGAAGCCATGGTTCTGAGAGTTGTCTCTCTTCACTTTCTCTATCAGCCAGATCACTTGATTGCTGTTGTTCTTTCTCTGCAAACAAAATATGAAAGATTAGAGTACAATCTGATCAACAATTTCATTCATGATGAGAATGACAAGTAAAATAAAAATACAGCATTAAGTCATTAAGCTTAGGTTAAAAAAAAAAGGGGCAACATAAAACTCCCCAAAAAGCCCCTTAAAGTCATGCAAGCTGACAATAGGAAGATAATTAGAAGTAATATCCCCACAATAAGTTTTGAATTAAATTACGTAACCAACTACATCTCTGATAACCACCTGGAAGCCATATAGATCATCTGAATGAAACATCAGAATATCTAGATAGGGCTTGAATAAAGGATTCAGTTTTAATTTTGCAGAAGATTAATCACCTCCTGCATGAAGTGTAGATCATAGCGATGAATACAGAGCACACAGCTGACATAAAGCAAGACAAACAAGCCATTCTTGAAAGCTTGGCTTTATTAAACAAAAAAACAAGCTGTCCTTTTGTACTAGTAATTGACTACGACTGATGAAAATAAACAGGTGAACGAACACAGGACACAGCTCGGCTACACAACACACCGAGCGACACTCACAAACACCATGACAGATGAGACAACAAGTGAACAGAGACGCAACAAGAGAAACGTCACCACAGTGAAGAAACATGATGCGATGATTCCAGGAAGAAGTTTTCAAAAACTAATAGGGGCTCTCGTGGCCTAGAGGTTAAGGTGTTGGCCTGTCATTCAAAAGGTCCCGGGTTCGAATCCGGGTAGCGACCGAAAAATTTTCTTCTCTAAATTTATCTCATTTCACCTCATTTCCTGCTCTCTAGCAATGTGCTGTCGTCTGCTTTCGTCTCCTCTTTCTGCCCCCACCCCCTCACCCACTTTGCCCCTTCCTCTGGGCTCCTGATTCTTTCTGCAGCCTTTCTACTGTTATTCCTACACTTCTTCTTACTGCTGTCTTTCTGCCACACCCCTGATCTTCTGGTAGGAAAGATCTACACCTAGCCTTCTCGGACAAGGGCGAAAAATCTCGGAGGGCCCGTATGCAAGTTGCGCACGTTAAAGATCCCTTGGTGGTCTAAAATCGATAAGAGTAGGCTTCCGCCGCCACCCGGGCAAAATTCAAAATTTCCTACCAACTGAAAATATTAGGTGTGTCCTGCGCGCTCATATGACCTTATGCAAATGCGAGCACCGTAAAACACTTTACAAAAACAAACAAACAAAAAAACTGATATAAAAAGTTCAGATTTTGTTCAGATTCGACAATCAAACTAACAGCTGTTGGTCAAAGCTGCTACCAATGGTGTCATAGTGGCCAGTCATTCTAAAAAGTTTTTTTACCTGTTCAATGGCATCAACGTTTGAATATGTCATACAAACAGTAAATATCGTATGAGATTTGATTTGTCGATAAATAAATTAATCTATAATTTCAGGGTTTTTTAAACCCACCTGCATTTTTATATCATTTCCTGTACAATGCCTCTCTAAGCACAGGTCAGTGGCCAACACTTTATTTCATCTTTACTCAACAACAGAACACTATACAGCAAAACATAAGCCATACCTTGATATACGTGTCCACACTCTTTGATACAACCAAATCAAAACCGTAGAAGTTGTTCTCATCACAGGGCATGGTGGTTGAAGAATAAAATGCCTCGTACAACTCTGGGTCTCTGTATTCAGTTGGGTTTGCACCCCTGTCTTTATTTCCTGTGTATAAAGAGAAAAATAAGTGGATGGTTGGCGGGTGCTGTGGTGTGATTTACTACTTCTTTCCTATCGAGCATCTATCGTCCTTATCTCTCTTCTTTTTCTTTGTTTGTTCTTCTCTAGTAACAAGTCTAATCTTAGGCATTTATAAATTATCTATTATATTTGTGTTGCAATTGCAAGTGCCATAAAACTCTTACTAAAACTAAAGATAATAAAAATAATCTAAAGTGTTCTTTTCCATTACAACAGAAACTTGTCTAGAATACATTTCATTCACTCACAGAGTAAAAGACACAACAAAGCATTAATCGCAAATGGTATATATAAGATGGATATATTTGAAAGTTTTTTATGCATGACAACAGCCGATGCCGAATCCTAGTTCAAATCAAGCCCTCTATAATATTCTGCTTATTGTAATTCCATGATCAATCAGCTCTTGTCCATTTGACATAGTCCACAGACATAGGCCTGTTTTCCTCAGAGAGCACAGTAGCCCCCCCCCCCCCTCCCCCCCCCATCTTTCAGATAGCCATATCCTGTTGTCAGAGGTTCTGTTGACTATTTATACTGTAAAAATACTTTGGAATGAGATGCACGCCTCTTACCTTCACATAAAGAAGCCTCCGCCCTCCTATTACCCCCCCCCCCCCCCTCCACCCCTTTTCCGTCTTTCACTTCTTTAAAAATATTAAGCTCACCTGACTGATGTCTGCATGACTCTCTGATGAAAAGATAACCCCCTGGCCGCAGCCAGCTCAGCTGTTTCCTGAAGAACTCTTGAACTTCGTTGTCATTCAAGTACATGAGCAACCAGTTGGAGAAGATGAGGTCAGCACTGAAGAGTAATTTTTAAAAGTCTTGACTTCAATACAAAAGTATTTGTACAACTCACATAAAACCACAGATCCAACATTGATAAAAGCAAAATGACATCAAGTTTGCTCGATCCAAAGTAGATTTTAAGTTTGGTTGAACAACAAAACAATTACTTTGATTATATTGAGATCAATTTATAGAAATAACTTTCTTCTCTCATAAAATATTCCCTTTTGTGGCCCTTTCTACCACACAGAAAAAGGGAAGGGTGTTTACAGCAGAAAAAGTGGAATTTACTTTAACACTTTGCAGTCACACAGCCAGCAGTACAATATACCCCATCTAGTCACCCAACCAGGAGAGTGGCTGAAATGGACTTCTCGTGCCTGGCGCCGTTTGGCTTGGCATTTTCACAGGCGCATTATTGCACCAATGACCAAGTGACAGCAAAGTGTTAACAATCATCACAAAATATTAAGCTTAGTATTCTAAACTACATTTTCTGTCTTTTCTTGCAAACATTTACATGGTAAAGACAAATATAAAAATTATTTACCTTTCTTTTGGTCTATCCAATTTTGTCACATCTGCAACCACGTATTCTATATTATTAAAATTCTGGTTTGTCTTTTTGTTTTTGTTGATGAATTCCTCCATAAAATCAACAGCAGCAACACTTTTAGCTTTCTTTGCAATTTCTGTTGTGAATCGTCTGAAAAGATAAAAAAAAACAACAACTTGAAAATATAAAATATCCACAATCAAAGCAATAAAAACCTTTTCACAAAAGCCATTTTATAAATCACAAGAAAACACCCAATTGACACCCAAGTCTGCAAGGCTAATTTAATTCACCTAAATAATCAACATATAGATCTAAAGGGATAAAAGGAAGAATTCTATTTTCATTTTTGAACATTCTGAGTAATTTATTGGGGAAAAAATCATTTGACTTTATATCACAATAAAACATTTTGATCTTATTTCAAAAATTGAAATATCTGTAATTATGTATAAATTAGAACTCAACCACTATAAAATCTATATACCCAATGCCAGCTCCAAGCTCAATGACATCTTTGCCAGCATACTCAGGTAAATAGGAAAGTATTTCTGGGAGTTCTTCTTTCGACAGCTCCTCTGCAGTATTGTCCAGCATCATCTCTTCTACTGAACCCTGCTTGGAGTGTTCTTTCCAGTACGCAGCCATGACTTGTCTTACTTCTGAAAAACAGAACAAGATAAACTACGTCAGAAAAAGGTGAAATGACTTTGCCCTCCATTTCCTAAGGTTCACAAAATGGTAATTTCATAACCTTTCTTTTTCATATTTGTTACTCTGGAAACTTAAGTTAAAAAAGACCCCCAAAAATGTCACAAAGCTAGATAGAAAATAATCAAAATTAAGCCCATTATTTTCATGTTTGAAAAAAAATATCAATGTGCCCTGCCCTTGAAATGACCTGTTTTAACACAAGATATGCAATCAGCAAGACAAAATGAATTATTTAGATACTGTATATAAAATAAGACCCCAGCAAAGAGGCAAAAATATGAAATAACTAACATTACTGTAAACCAGGGCCGACTGAGAATGCCACAGTCAAAACACAAAAAAATGCCAAGACCCAACAGCAAAGTCATATCAAACACCTAAGTCAGGTTTATATCTCAACAGAGCACAAAATATTGTCCTTTCCTAATACTTAAATTTATAATCACAGCAGCAGGATACAAAATAAAGACCAATGCAACCTGAACATTATAAGCAAGCACAAGAATCTGTAGAGACAGAAAAAAGCAAAGTTATTCCACTACGATAAATGTTGCTCTAGATGTAGCCTACTTTTTTCTTCGGCCGGCTCTATTTCTCTGAACATTCGGGAAAATAAATTGAAGGGATCTTTTTTTTTTTACATGAAGGATTTTAGTTTTTGCTGGGTGACAAAAAGCAAAATAGGTTACTGCCAAGGTCGGGCAGTCTTGTTTTCTCGCAGCACCTTTTGACGGTATTTTCAAATGAAGTATGGTCCGGGAACGTTGTCCCAACCACAATTGAAATATCTGAATATTCATCATACATTTAAGAATCTCTAGCTCTAGAAATTGAATTTGATGCAAAAAATGCTTCCTTCCAGTCCTCGCAGAAAGGCAGAATCAAAGATGACGTCTAAATCTGGCAAATAACACCAAAAAATCTCGAAATCAGAAACCGTTCGGAGAAATAAAGTTCAACTTTATTTTCCCGAGCCGTCGGAGAAATAGTCACTTCGTTTTTCTTCATACATATATCCAGCATATATAGATCTAGATCTGTATAATATATATCAGGCATATCCATGTTCTTTTTGAACAAGTATTTAAAATGTCCCATTTAACCTGTGAAAGACACTAAACTCAACTTGTTTGTTCTGTTCATATGAATGATGCAGGTTCGAGGGTCAGTTTAGATAAATCTAAATCAAGATCTGATCTAGATCTAGAAAGGCCACCTCTATTCTCACCCCGGGTGAGAACAGTGCAGGCGAGTCTTTTGGCTATTCTCACCCGGTGCGCGTTCACCATTATAGCCAATCAATTTTGCATTCACCCTAAACCACAGAATTCTGCACTGTGATAACAGAAAAATTGTAGAATTCTGTGCCGTGAACAAACGTTCCATTACTAAAAGCGTACAATTTTGTCTGTGGGCAGTGGAGAGAGAGAAAGAGAGAGAGAGAGGAGTAACGCGAGAACTTTCGGGCAAAACAAAATGGCGACCTGTGTAGTTCGGCTCGATTCGAAAAGTTAAATAGCCGTAACATCTTTGTAGACGACCAAATTAATTTACTTTTGTGTTTTAACATCATTTTTTAACTTTGTTTTGGTCAATTTGATCGTCCACACCGATAGACAGTATTCAGAAAGAAACAGAGAGAGAGAAGAGGGGAGGAGTAGATCTTGCGAGAACTTCCGGGCAAAACAAAATGGCGACCCCCGTAGTTCGGCTCGATTCGAAAAGTGAAATAGCCATAGCATCTTTGTAGTCGATAAAATTTGCTTCCTTTTTTGTGCTATAAACGTAATCTTTTCTTTGCCTTTATCCATTTGATCATCTACATCGATAGAAAGTATTCCGAAATTAGGAAAAACAGGTCTTGTTTCACACTGGGTGAGAATAGCCTACAGTAGCAAGTCTCACCCGGGGTGAGAGGTCGATCGTATTTCTATTCTCACCCCGGGTGAGACGGGTGAGAATAACCACTTCCATCTAGAAAATCTAGATATGTTATGATTAGTGATTATTAACTGGATATTAAAACTCACGTCTTGATAGTTAATACGAAGTGACTATTCGGACTCGAGTCCGAATATGAAAAAATGTTATTCGGACTCTGATTCTTGTCCAGCATGACATCACTTCCGACTTCCTGTGACTCATGAATCCGGCTTCCTGTCCTGCCTCATTCGTGACTCGCCTCAGGCTGGGTAGAGACCGGGATCACTTCGGGCAAAAAGGCATTTTGTACACTAGGAGCCGAGTTTTAATCTTACGATGAATTTGGGGCCGGCCTGAAAAGTTATAGCGCTTCTAATAAATGTTTATTTGTCAAGAGGTCATCAAAAGCAATTAAAGATGGCTCGTTAGCATGTGTCGGGGTCGGATGGGCGGCCTGCACACGTGTGGCTGTGTGCGTGTCGGGGAGGGGGGCACTATCGGTCCGGGCGTTGAACGTCGTATACGCGTCAGTCTTTTTCCCCCCGGCAACTGATCATTATTACAATAATAAGCTAGTCTTGACGTAGATCTACGTAATGAATTGTGCGCTGGTCTATGGAATCAAAAGTTTCCGTATGCTCAGCTCTACACAGCAACACAACTTTTTCTTGGTAAACAATCGATATGACAAAGGCTTGTGTATTTGAACGAATCGGTCTATTTTTTTTTACACAGCTCATAATATGCAGGTGCCAGGTGGTCTGCTAATCTTCAATTTTACCTTTTTTTTTCAACAAAGAAAGTGGGAAACATGGGGGGGGGGGGGGGGGCGTATCAATGAGGGGGCGGGCATCGGATCGACAGAAAAGGTGTGGGGGAAACTAAAAAATGGCGGAAAATTGGAAGCACTGAATGTTAAATCTATAGAACGAAGACACTTCCTTTTTTCAGGACCCGAGTAAATTCGGACTCGAGTCCGAATATGAAAAAATGTTATTCGGACTCCGAATAACGACGGCCTATTGTTATTAATCGAAAAAAAAATCATAAATGCAGGAAATATTTAGGAGCAACGGTCGGAAATCGGAATGAACTTCATGCTGGACTCAATTCAGAGTCCGAATATAATTTTTTTTGTCTATTCTGACTCTAGCCCGAATCGTCAATGTCGTCACTTCGGCTCGGTAAGACTGGCCTTGCCCGATGGAGCGGAACGATAAACCAGGTCAGTCTTACGAAGTCATTTAAGAGCTCTGAGTGTTTATCAAAGAGAAAAGGAAGACTTCTCATCAAGTTCATCACAATGACAAAAGCTCTTTGCGATAAGTCTCGATGTACTCAAAACGCATTACCTTACCTATCGGCAAAGAATACACACTTTGGTGGCAAAGTAAACAGACTTAAAAAGTAAGACAAGGTTTGCTCAACAGCTGTGCCGGGCGCCGGGAGGAAATGAGGAAAGACGACGAAGGCAGTAGTCAGCAGTGAAAAATTCATTTGTACTGTCGTTTGGCCTTGTGCCTAAATTTCGGTTGAGTGATGGCTTCACACCAGTCAGCGACCCTGCACAACATCACCATAGTATTTATAAAACCCACAACTATTAATTCGAATAGTCACTCTCAAAGCTGGGTGGCTGAGTTGCCCCAACTGGGAAAATATTTTTGAGTATGAGCGTGCACTACATTATTTGCAAGTGTTAATCATATCCTAGCCCGCATGTAATTAATTATTTTTTTAAATCTTCAGGAAAGCTTTTAAAATTCACTTTCTTCTCTCATAGATCATGTCATAAACCAACTATTATCATAAAATTAATGCTACACAGCGATAAAGATTCGGCACGATAGTTTCAGCACACCCCCCCCAACC